TATATAAGGTTGCAACCTTAAAATGTAGATTTCAATATGTACCTGAAAAATCCATCATAAAAGGTTGTTTGGATGTTGGAAAACACTCTAATTGATCATCTCGACATTGAGATATATGAATATGAAAAGAAAAAAGATTCGAGTCTACGAAATAGTGTATTGCAAGATACATTATTTGGACCATCTATTTTCAAGTTTTTTATGTGTTTATAGATCTACTTGATTTGAACCATTTTTGAAGTTTAAAATTTCATAGTGAGATATGACAATAGATTCTTGAGCCATCCTAAGAATTTCTCATATCAAAATTACATTTATAATGAAATTTAGAGTGTGGCTTAATTGGATTGTTCAAGATTGCAACCTTATACTAACCACACCCATTTAAAAATAATACTTTACACATTAAAACTCATAAAAATATATTTTTGGAGTGAATTATTCGTGTCCCCAAGAGTAGTTCTGAACTTTATACTCAAAAAACCAACCTAGCTCATCCAAATTTTAATATAAGGTAGAAGTGAGACGCACCTTAAAAATCCACCAAAAATGGTTATTCAGACACAAAAAAACCTACAAATTGATCATCTCGATCTCCCAATGCATGCATATGAGAAAAAAAAAAATTCAAGTCTTAAAAATCGTGCATCTTGTAATTTGTTATCTCGATTGTCCATTTTTAAGATGGAAAAATTTTGTTTTTCAAGATTTTTATGTGTTTATAGATCTACTTGATTTGAACCATTTTTAAAGTTTAAAATTTCATAATGAGATATGAAAATAGATTCTTGAGCTATCCTAAGAATTTATGATATTAAAGTTACATTTATAATGAAATTTAGAGGTGTGGCTTAATTGGATCGTTCAAGGTTGCGACCTTATACAAAACACGCCCATTTAAAAAATAATACTTTATACATTAAAACTCATAAAAATATTTTTTTGGAGTGAATTGTTCTAGTCCCGAAGAATAGTTTTGAACTTTATACTCAAAAAACCGACTGAGCTCATCCAAATTTCAATATAAGGTATCAACTTTATATTATAAAAGTGAGACACACCTTAAAAATCCACCAAAAATGGTTATTCAGACATTAAAAAACCTATAAATTGATCGTCTCGATCTCCCAATGCATGCATATGAGAAAAAAAAAAAATTTGAAGTCCTAAAAATCGTGCATCTTGTAATTTGTTATCTCGATTGTCCAATTTTAAGATAGAAAAATTTTGTGAATCAAAGGATGTAGGTTTACATAGCGTCCCATAGAAACATCCATCTTGTAAATGTAAATAAAGGCTAGATCCAACAAAATTTAAAAATGTTGGTGTTAAAATTATTTCAACAAATTAACTTTTAAATTTATTTATGTTTTCCATATTCATGCTGGCCATAATTGGGATTTTAAAAAAAAATGGATTCAGAATCCATCTCTAAAATGGATTTTGTAGAGATGACTCATTTAAATAGATGAGTCGAGGGACACATTAAAACCTTACTATTTTAACATTTTTGAGTTTTTATAGATAGAAAAGTATATAAAGAGACCATTTAATTTTGTCCCTTATATTTAAAAAAATTATACAAAAAGACTATTTACAAGAAGGTCACCATCACTCGTGTCTTTTAGATTTTAAATTGGATGGTTTTGAGCATGTCTTGTCTAGATTAAAAATCTCGATCTTCATCAAGCCAACCAATTTTACATCTAATTTTAAGAAAAATAAATGATAGTATACAATTCCTTTATATATTTACCATGTCTGCACTATTTATTGAGCGTTAAATTCTATAATTATAGGTGAAAATAGATTTGCAGGTCATCGTAAAGATTTTAATTATTAAAATTGCATCTTCTAATTTTTTTTAGAAATGCACCTTACATTAATAAGGTTGATGCGTGTCTTAATTTGATTGTTCAAGGTTGTCACCTTATACAAAAAGACTCGGTTTCTATGTGGCCAATCCCGCATATGTAGAAATGCGGGCCTCTTAATAAATCTATTTTTGAGATAGATTTTAAGACTTAATGTTTAAGGACATGTAATCTCTAACATGGAGATCATGAATATGAAAACATAAATACATTTTAAAAACTAAAATAATAATTCTAGTAAGAAAATATTTGGACTGCATATTTAGTTTCCGTTGTTCTTAGAAGGAACACCAATTTGCATCCATCTTTAAGATGGATAGTTTACACTTTCTGGACCGCATATGTAGAAACGTGGTCCAGCCTGCATGAAACAATTTTCTTGTACAAACCACACCCATTTTTAAAACACTTGTGGACACCGACACAATAGCCACTCATCTCCCTTTTTCGGATTGTAATCGAAGTAGTCTAGCAGTCCATTGTTGGCATCTAATGGCTGGAATGGTGTGACTAACATGTAGGAAACCAAACACCAGCAAAATCCTCTTACTCTTCCGCCGTTCTTTCTTGACATGAGACGGTTGGGAGGGGGTTGATAAACTATAGAAAACCAAGTGCCGATGGAAAGGGAAAATTGTTTCATGCGGGCTGGAACACATTTCTACATATACGGTCCAGAAGTATAAAGATGGATGCAAATACGTGGTCCATCTAAAAATAATTGAAACAAACGGTTCAAATGTTTTAATAATAGAATTATTATTTATAATTTTAAATTTTTTTTATTTTTTCATATTATCTCTACATTAGAGATTATATATCTTTAAAAAATAAGTCTAAAAATCCATCTCGAAAATAGATTTATTTAGAGGACTGCATTTCTACATGTCCGGTTTTGACCCGCATGCTAACCGTGTCAAGTGGAAAGTCCTTAAGCGGAAAAACGCCAGATTTCGGCGTTCAATTCAAAGAGTTGCTATTCCCGAAATCTTTCTCCGACCGAAATATCGAATTCCAAAAGGTTGGAACTTGGAAGGGATGCTTACGGTATTGTCATATTTAATGGAGGCATTCTACGTCCTTTTATTCCAGTCTTATCTTTTTCTCTGTACTATTAAGTGGAAAAGAGCAAAGGAATAATAATGGAGTTCTAGGGTTTTCTGACCCAAAACCAGTCGTCTTCTCCTTCAGGTAACAAAAGTCGTGTTCTTTCTTATTTTTCTGTTCATTAAATTTATTGTTGTTTGCGTAATAACTACAATTTACTTATATATATATATATATATATATATATATGCTCTTTTGTCTCATCCCTTCCATGATTCGATTCTATTTGGGTTCTTTTTTTGGTCTTCTTTTTTTGGTATTTGATTTGCATTTCTTCAAGGTATTTTAGGGTTTTCCCCGTAATTTTAAACAGGAATTCACTTCGAAATTTAGGGTTCTTTCATCCGAATGATATATGTAGTATTCTTCGTTCTGATGTGAATTGATTGTTTCGGTTTTTGGTTTTTGGGGATATTTTCATGCATGAATTCTGGGTTTGTGAATTTTTTAAGAATTATTTTTTAGGATGTTTATGATTTTGGATTCAGAATGTTTTAGATGTTTTTTTTTATGTGGTTTGTTCTGCAGTTATTATGATTTCTTTATTTATTTCTTTTTTCATTCTCTTGAGATTCAGTGTGGATGTTTACATGGTTTCTTTAGTAATTAAGATATAACATTTTTGGTTCTTTTTTTTCCCCCTTTCTTGTGTTGACGATCTGTGTTTTTTAAGACTAGGCCATAGAAGGAATTATCAGGTATTCGAATCTGCAATTTCTAGGTTTCATTACCAGCCAATATGGTTGGATATTAGGGCTTCTTCTGTGAATAAGATGTGTGATTTCTTGGTCTCTATAGAGCTTGTATTCTTATTTCTGATTGGAATGTCCCCTGTTTGGATTTTAGGCTTTATATTTAACATGTGATATCTGAAGTTTCAACTTTGTTCTGGTGTGATCACTGAGGTTTTTTTTTTCTTTGGGTGGAGGGTTGGGGTTATTCAGTGTTAAAGATTTAGGTTTACAAGTTTTTATGTATTTCTTCCATAATTAAGATTTGTGATGTCTAGATTGTTTTGATTCTTGGCTTCATTTCTAGGCAATACTATATTGTTTCTTTTTCTCTCTTCTATCCATTTTTATTTACTGTTCATTTTTCTTTTGGTATTATTTTCATGTGCTTGTACCAAGCAATTTATCATTGAAAAATATAATCAATAGTAGATCGGCAGAAGTTCTTCTAAAATTGAGATGTGTGATTTCATTTATAAAAGATTTGATATATGAAATTCAATTCCTTATGTTTTTTTCTCCATTCTGCCACAACTCATTAGAGTATCCTGTGTGTTTATTTGATAATTCATATGCTAGTTTGCTTTACAAGGTTTGTTTTCTAACTAAGATAGATGCTAGTTTCCTTTACAAGCTTTCTTTTATAACTAAGATAGATGCTAGTGTGCTTTATAAGGGTCCTTTTATAATTATGATGTGTGTTTTGTAGGTTTATGCAGGATTTTGTTCTTCATTTGTTCGGGAAATCGAAATTTTATATTGCTTTTAGCACTTATTCAATAAGTAAAATGACTTGATTAATATGTATTGTGACGGTTTTCTCTAATAAAATTGTGTGAGTCTTCTTTTAGGTTTTTGGCTCCTTCCCTATAATAATTATCGTGGTTCATTTTAGCATATTATGTGATTTGTAGGTTTCTCTTTCTTTACCTGTAGTCTTTTGTTCTCTCATGGGAAACTCAGTTTCTGTGTATTATGAATTTCAATCGAGTGTAACTATTAAAAAGCAAGAAATTTCATTGTTTGTCATTGACTTTTTAAGTCTTGTCTTTATCTTTTTGTCTTCAGTTCATGTTCCCATTGCAGTGGGAATTATCTCAAGAGGGTTGTACTTTTTTCTTTTATGAAAAGAGAAGATATAACTCAAGTATACCCTTAAGGCCTTAACTTTGTTCCATGATATCTCATGATTAGCTATATTAAGTTTTGGGAACACATTTAAGCTGATATTTGAATGCTTCAATTCTTCTTATCTCTCTGTGATCGTTTCATTCTTCTATATGATCAGTTGGAGGGGAGATAAACATTTGTGAGGCCTCAGTATTCGGCCTTACCTCGTGTCGATATTGGAGGCTGTTGTTGAAGACTCTCTGATCAATCTGGTGCAGAAAATTCTCAAGAAAATTTCCTCAAAAAAAAAAAAATCTTAAGAAAATGTCTAGTAGTGGGAATACACACTGGTGCCATGAATGCCGGCGTGCAGTACGCCTCTCTAGTCGAGAATCCCAATGTCCTAATTGCAATGGAGGTTTCATAGAAGAACTTGGAGATTTAGGAGGTCTCTCAAACCTTTTTCGGAAATTATGATGACGATCAAGAGCCAGGGGCTCGAATCATCGAGGCCCTATCAGCCTTGCTAGGTGAACATCGATCAGGCAGGAGATCTCGTGAAGTTGATGTACGAGGGCGTATCGGTCAAAACCGAGAAGGCATCGGGTTTGGGTTTGGGCCATGGGTGGTCTTTAGGGGCCAACTCCCTGCTCGAATGATGGATGAAGGGGGAATGGAGTTTTTTTTTGATGCGGGCTCTGGTGTCGGGCTAAGACGCTTACCCCCAAATTTTAGTGACTATTTCATGGACTCGAGGCTCGAAGCCTTGATCGAGCAGCTCACTCAAAATGACAGGCGTGGCCCCCCACCTGCCTCCCGATCCTCAATAGACGCAATGCCCACAATTAAGATCACTCAAAGGCATCTGCGTGGAGATTCACATTGCCCTGTCTGCAAGGATAAGTTTGAAATTGGTATCGAAGCAAGAGAAATGCCATGTAAGCACATTTATCACTCAGATTGCATTGTTCCTTGGCTGGTTCAACATAATTCCTGCCCGGTTTGTAGGCAAGAATTAACTGCACAAAACGCTAGCACTGCTCGTGATACTGGTAGGCCTAGCAATGGAAACCGGAGTACTGGTAGCAATGTGGAAGGCCAAGGGAGACGGAACCTGTTCTCTTTTCTTTGGCCATTCCGATCATCTAGCTCGACTTCAAACCATAGGGAGACTGGAGATAGCAGCTCGACAACAACTGCAACTGCAACTGCAACCCATGAGGCGAATATATGGCCTTTTGAAGATTAGGTTTTTTTCCGGGTTTGGGCTCGATGCTTTGGTTGCTGTAGCCTTTTGCAGATTGGGGCATTAAAGTTAGATTGAAAGTTTAAATAACAACCTCGAATTATGAGAGTAGTGACCTGAAAATACTTGTTAGGGGAAGAGACCTTTGGTCTAGCTCCTTTCTTTTCCTTTTTTTTTTTTTTTGGCATGTAAATAATGTACTTTTACTCTGTGTTAATGTTGTTTAGAAGTAATCAATGGTCTGGTTCTGTCGTCTTTCATTGTTTTGTTCCGTCTTTAGAGCCCAAAGAATTGTCTATATCAATATGGTTTCTGCATGAACCAATAGGCCAAAGAATTTTCTTTATCAATATGGTTTCTACATGAAACATTAACCCAAAGAATTGTCTTTATCAATATGGTTTAGGGAGAACCATTAATGCTTGGCTTTTTCTTTTTCTTTTTATTATTAAACCTTGTTTAAGGGGAAACCTGTTTTATCTATGTGGCTTCACCCATATGTAACCGTCTTACCAGTTCAGTCCCTGATTCCCAATGTCACATTAGTATATGAACTATTTGATTTTGATCTGATGGGTTTAGAGTATTTGAATTTTAATTTCAATTTTTATGAATCATTTGAGATGAAATTTGACCATTTCTCACTTTGGCACACCTAATAAAAATAAGAAAAATAATTTCTGATAAAATCCAAAATTGTCAGGTTGACATTATAAAAATAAAATAAAAATCCGAAATTGTCATTTTTTTTATTGAAAATATTCTTTATTTTTAGTAGGTTTTGTAGGTGGAGATTAAAATAGAACTGTATTAGGCATGGTATTATGATTGAGGTTATCCCAACATCCATTCTAATCCGACGGCTGAAATTATGAGTCAAGTTTTCCATGCTAAGACTTTTAAAATTTCTCTTTTGGGGTAGCTGGTGTTAGTCTTTGGGGATGTATGCCTTTGCTTGCTTGGTCAGGCCAGCGTTTCCTGACTAGGCATTTCAGAGGTTTCCTGTGCAATTTTGATCTCTCCTTTATATCATGTAGGGAAATGGGATTGTCGAACTTGTTTGGGTATATGATGAAATTATATGCTATAGCAACAAATTGTCATGCAGGTGTTAATAAGTCCAGGGAAATTTATTAAATTACATCTCATTTTTAAACAATTAAATATTTTAT